AGTTTGTCTTCTTCTTCTTTCGTATTTTGTGTTTTTGCTTTGTTCCTTCGCTATGATCTAATTCAATCTCCGAGGCAAACCAAAACATTAACGACATTGCTTCCCAATGAATTACGATTATCTCTGATCTGCTGCCTTCCTTGACTAAATGCGCTCTCTAATGCAACAGTTGATATTGGAACATTTAGCACATTCCTCGCCAAGGTGAAAAGTACTGGTAAAATAAAATGTTCAATATTATATTTTTAGGAAATTAATGGGGACAAGGGAGAATGATTTAGGAAATTAATGGTAAAATAAAATGTTCAATATTATATTTTTAGCGAGGCGGGTTAAATGGGGCGGGTCATTAAATGATTTTAATGGATATATATTTGATTCTTAAAATTTTGGTTAATAATTAAAATTTCATGTCAACAAATTTTAATAAAAAAAATAATAAAATAGATTGAGTGACTTTCTGTGCAAATAAATCATAGTTGAGTGACTTTTGAATTGAAAATGAAAGTTGAGTAATTTTCTGTGAAAAGAATTGATAGTTGAGTAACCATCAAAGTTATTAACTCAATAAATAATATTCTGACAACAGTTGGATCTGGACATCAAAGTAATTGAGTGGCAGAAACCAATTCAGTATACTATGAACCGTAATACTGATGAATATTGCTAGGGAAATCCAGGAGAGACAGTGTACTTACTATCTTGACTTATTTTTAAACCAAACGACCCCTTAATTTTCTATTAGAGGAGAAATTTATAAATTTAATCAACTACTTCCTCCGTTTCACAAAGAGTGGCCTAGTTTGATTTGACACGGAGTTAAAAAAAATAAAGAAGATTTTTGAATCTTGTGGCCCTAAATTAAAGTTATGTCAAATGTACAAAATTGCCCTTTAATCTTGTGGTCTTAAATATGTCACGTGAAAAGTTAAAAGTAAAATGTTACCAAAAAAGGAAAGAGATCACTCTTTTTAAAACAAACTAAAAAGGAAAGGGGATCATTCTTTTCTAAACAGAGGGAGTATATGATAACCAATGCCTAATTTTCTGTCAATCACTTATCCAATAAACAACAACCAACAGAAAAAAACTGGATTAAATTACTCCTATTCAATTAAGGAAAAATAATCAGTAGTTTACATTTCTTAATTGATCCACCTATTTTCTTCTTCTTCATCAGCACCATCTTCAGCCCACATATCAACCCAATTCTTCTGTGCTTCTTCCAGCCCAATAAACGACCCTTGTTTTTCCGGATCCCAACTGGCTGACAAAGTCCCATAAGCAGCTCCAAGTGCTGAAGCCCCAAATGTGATAAACGTCGTCAAAAATGGCAACCAAATTGGCAGATCCAACAATTTCTGCTGCTTTATAATATCGAAAATCTGCAGCAAAATCACACCGCCGATCAACGGAGCTCCGACGTAAAACAGAATCCTTCCAATAATCCTTTCCCATATCTCCGTCGGGATTTTCTCGTCGTTATCGTTATTGTTCCTTCTGTTCCCTTTTTTTGAAATTTCAGGTTTTCCATTGCCGAAGCCTTTTGCTTCGGCATTCAATTTCCATGTGGTTCGTTGGAGATTTGGAATTCTGTTTATTTTTTTATGAAAATGGATTGGGAATTTTTGATTCAATGGAAATGAGTTTGTAATGGAGAGATTTGGGATTTGAAGGCATATGAGAGTTTCCATATGAGCTAATTAATTTTGTTCATGGAGTTTGTGTTACTTTGTAAATGAGTAGTAGTGTAGTAGTCTTATCCAAATACATGAATGGTTGTGCCTAAATCTTTACTTTCTTTCATTGACATTTTCAAGATATTTTTTTTTAATATATATAGTGTATATACATTATATATTAAGTATACGTGTAGAATTATAATGCATTTGATATTTTTTTCTACTCTAACTATCTCTATCGGGGAAGTGCACAAATACTCGTTTTTTTATATTGTGATAGACTATTATCTTTCCATAGATTATTTACAAAAAGTGTCACATTGTCATATTTGAAGCTTCATAACTTTAGACGTTCGTGTTTGAAAGTGTAGTCTTTGTGAAGGCCAAACATAAGGCTTTTTCGTCTAATGATTAGTATGAATTGCTAAAGGCAAAAGCCTAGACATTTTTTTATTGAGGTGCATGCAAAATATAGTTTAACTTTCAATCATATATAATTGAAATACATGTAAAAAATGCATTGAAATTTCTGACACGAGTGTCTAAACAAAACTTAGTAATTTATTCATAGAATTTCAACAATTCATCACACAATTTAAAACTAAAAAATACACCGTAAATAATACTCAAATTTAAAATATATCATTAAGAACAATTACAAGCATCAAACACTACAACTCTAACAAGTTATTATTAATAACCTTTCGATTTTTTTAACAATGCACATTAGTCATGTATTTATTACTGAACTGCATGTAAAAATGGGCTGAAATTTCTAGGGATAAGAGTCTGAAAAATACCTCAACTTTGGGTCGGATTTGTTGTTGCGATACTAAACTTTCATGAGGACCTATTACCTCCCTAGACTATTTAATACCATATTTTAAACATATATATTTGCCCATGTGGACATAAAAAAATAATGCAAAATTATAAATAGTAATGTGTCCACGTGGGCATATATATACCTTTAAAATACACTATTAAATAGTTCAGGGGGTAAAAAATACGGTATTAAATAGGTCTAGGGAAGGTAATAGGTCCTTATGAAAGTTTAGTATCGCAACAGCAAATCCAACCAAAGTTGGGATATTTTTCAAACAGTTATCCCAAATTTCTATCATGTGAGTGTGAAAATTTTCGGGGAAACTAAGCAAATACCTCATAAATGTAAAATAATTATAAATATATACCCATTTACATTCATACTCCACTAAATAAATACACTATATACCCCAACTAATTTCGCTTAACTAATACTAAATCAGTATCATATATTATGGGGGATTTTTTTGCATGTAGCCACTTAAAAATAGCTTAACTATGCTCTATAGATATAGTTTGCTAATTATGATTCGTAGTTACATGTTAGAGAGAGGAGATAGGCAAGCGAGATTGGGAGAGGGAGGAGAGAGGCGAGCGTGAGACGGCAGGGAGTGGAGAGAGGCGAATTATATATGTATATCTGTCAAAATAATTGTATATATGTAATTGGTATACATATATATTCGTATATATGGCGAATGAGACAGAGAGGAGAGAGGCTAGCGAGATTAGGAGAGGGAGGAAAGAGGCGAGCAAGATTGGGAGAGGGAGGAAAGAGGGGAGCGAGAGAGGGCATAGAGTGGAGAAATGGTAATTGTACTTGTATATTTGTCATATAATTGTATATTTATATGTATAATTTGTATTTGATAATGTGTATTTGTATATGTATAAAAGAGGAGAGAGGAGAGAGAGGGGAAGAGAGGAGAGAGGCGACGCAAATATAGCTAAAATTAAGTTGTGAGTCGTAATTAATTCAAACTATAGCTGTGTTAGATAATTAACTAGTATATGTTTGCTTATCCGCGCAATTTCTCTTATATTGTATTGGTATCATTAAGACTGATGATTTCACTTAATTGATATTATATCAGTATATATATATATATATTGTATTGGTATATACATATACTCTTATAGTATCATTGACTAATGAATAATTTATGAACAAGAAACCTTAATGATAGAGCCATCAAAATGGGCTTAGCCCATGGGGCCGACCCAACCCAACCTGTTATTGGGGTAGGGTTGGGATCGGATTTTTCAAGCCCATTTAAAACTAGGGCTTATAAGCCCTTGGCTCTTGAGGCTTGATCGGGTTCGGGCCGGGGTTGGCCCATGAGCCAAAACTTTTTATTTAAGGGTAACTTACAATAATCTCACTAGTATATCATCTAATTACTTAAATACACGCTATGTTGTTTATCATGAATCTTACCAGATTTTGGTACGTCCAGATATATGTCTCTCAGAATATATAGACTCAAAATTAGGTTAATTTGTTCTAGATACACTCTATCCAAGTAGATTCACATGTATCCTAGATACATAGACAAATCTCGAGCCCTCGCCTCCCTCTCATCTTGCTTGTCACTCTCTTATCTCGCTAGCGTATATGATATGCGAGATACATGCTAATTACACTAGATTTTTTGCTAGGGTTATTGTAACAACACCATTGTTTGTCATATTTGATTTGAAAATCTTCTCATTTTCTTGCTGTTATATAATTATAAGTTTGAAAAGAAAAAAAAAGAAAAAAGAAAAAAAGAATGGCTAGCCCTCCCTAGCCTTTGGCCCTTCTAGGGTTGGGTTGAGCATTTTCAGGCCCTTCCAAATGAAGGGCTGGCCCTCCTTACCTTTCAAATTCCTTGGCCCGCGAGGCTTGGGATACATATATATATATATATATACTGAAAGTAAAACGATATATGTCATCATGCATATAGATATTGAGTTTGTTGGAAGCAATGTGTCACAGAAGAGATACCTGACGGGCCTCCCATTACAGATGTTCAAGATACAACACCACTCTGAAACAAGTTTCAGAACGATGAAACAAAAAATAACGATGAAATAGTTTAGGTAAATAAAAAAATAGAACCCTAAACTAATTTGATAAAATAAATTTGAGTCCTAGTTGCCTTATACTACTATATTTAATATTTATATTCTATAAAATAAAAAATAAACAAATTTAAAAACTTACCTTTTGTGTGACTTAAAGTTAAGTGATAGTGTAAAAAGAATTCCATTCACCGTGGACTACAAGTTAATTTCTAAAGGGTATAGCTAGAAATAAGGAATTATTATTGGTCCAAATTGTAAACCTTAACCGAATAGGAAAAGGATGCCTTAACCAAATAGGAGTTTTTTTTTTTACCTTAACTGAATAAGAAAAAGTTTACCTTAACCAACTAGGAAAAAACTCCTATGTGATGTTATATAAAGCCTTCTCTTATGGGAAAACATTTTTGTCACGTTTATTTCCCATCTTTTCTACAAATTCAACATTCAATTAATGGCTTCGGGTTACCTCACTCGTAAGGAAACGGAGGTAAAGGTTGCTATGGCTAGGCGGGTGAAGAACAAAACCCCAGCCCCAATCCAAATCACGGCGGAGCAAATCCTCCGAGAAGCTAGGGAGCGTCAAGAGGCAGAAATCAGACCGCCCAACCAGAAAATCACTGACCAAACAGAAGTAGCTGATTACCGTCTTCGCAAGCGAAAGGAATTTGAATCCTTAATTAGCCGTGTAGGCTGGAACAAGAATGTGTGGGTGAAATATGCTGAATGGGAAGAATCACAAAACGACTTGAAGCGTGCTCGTTCTATCTGGGAACGTGCGCTTGGAATTGATGCACTTAACCGTGACCATACCATCTGGTTGAAGTATGTCCATATGGAGATGAAGAATAAGTTTGTTAATCATGCTCGCAATCTATGGGATCGAGCTGTTATCCGTTTGCCTAGGGTTGATCAGTTGTGGTACAGGTATATTCATATGGAAGAGATGCTCGGCAATGTAACTGGTGCAAGAGGGATTTTTGAGAGGTGGATGGGGTGGATGCCGGACCAGCAAGGGTGGTTGTCTTACATTAAGTTTGAGTTAAGGTATAATGAAATAGAGAGGGCAAGAGAAATTTTTGAGAGATTGGTTCAGTGTCATCCGAAAGTTATTGCTTGGATTAGGTTTGCAAAATTTGAGATGAAGAATGGGGAGATAGGGAGGGTAAGGAATTGTTATGAGAGGGCTGTGGATAAGTTGGCAGATGACGATGAGGAAGCTGAGCAGTTGTTTGTGGCATTTGCAGAATTCGAGGAAAAGTGTAGGGAGACGGACAGAGCAAGGTGCATATATAAATTTGCACTTGATCACATACCGAAAGGGCGAGCTGAGGATTTGTTCAGCAAGTTTGTGGCATTTGAAAAGCAGTATGGTGATAGGGAAGGTATTGAGGATGTTATAGTTGGAAAAATGAGGTTTCAATATGAGGATCAAGTAAAGAAGAATCCACGTAACTATGATACGTGGTTTGATTATATCCGTCTAGAAGAGCGCATTGGAAATAAAGAGAGGATTAGAGAGGTTTATGAGAGAGCCATTGCTAATGTTCCTCCTGCTGAAGAGAAGCGGTATTGGCAGCGATACATTTACTTATGGATTAATTATGCATTATATGAAGAGCTTGATGCACAAGATATGGAAAGGGCCAAACATGTTTACAGGGAGTGTCTTAAGCTGATTCCGCATCACAAGTTCTCATTTGCAAAGATTTGGTTGTTGGCTGCCCAGTTTGAGATTCGGCAGTTAAGACTCAAGGAGGCACGACTTTTTCTTGGAGAAGCTATTGGTAGGGCTCCTAAAGACAAGATATTTAAGAAGTACATTGAAATAGAGCTGCATTTGGGGAATATAGATCGTTGCAGAAAGCTTTATGAGAAGTACTTAGAATGGTCACCTGAAAACTGCTATGCTTGGAGCAAATTCGCTGAGTTAGAGAGGTCCTTGTATGAAACAGAGAGAGCCAGAGCTGTTTTTGAGCTTGCAATTGACCAACCTGCACTGGATATTCCAGAGTTACTATGGAAGGCTTACATCGACTTTGAGATCTCTGAGGGTGAATTTGAAAGAACAAGAGCACTATATGAAAGACTTCTTAACCGCACGAAACATTTAAATATGGAAAACACTTTCGGTGAGCTACCAAAGAAACTGAAGAAGAGAAGGCAAATAGACATGGAGGATGGTCCAGCAGTCTACGAGGAGTACATAGACTATCTTTTCCCTGAAGAAATGCAGGCGAACAATCTTAACATTTTGGCTTCTGCTTATAAATGGAAGAAGCAGCGGGTTGCATCCAAGGATTAGCTAGATTTTGTATTAGCTTACTTTGTATATAGATTTTTTTACTGTTTTCTGTTAGCTCCCACAACTCTAGTTTTGGTGGAACCTAAAATTTAGTTTTGTTCAATTCGACATCACCTTTTCTTGTCAGTTTATAACGAATAATATAATTGAGGAAAGGGCAGATTTACAATTTCTAGAATAAAAGATGACTGACCTGGTATTCTATCAATATTATATTGTCTAAATGGTATGTCCAAATCTGGATAACATGGAAAACATCCATCAACTTGGTTGTGTTTTGTCATTGTAAATTATTCTTCATGATCTCTTGTAAAAAAAAATAAAAAAATTGGCCACTCTACAAGATGTGTTGCCAAGTTCTTGATTTTGTGGCTGGAAGGCCAACATAGTAGTATTAGTTTATAGGTTGCCTCTACTTATCTTAATTTAATCTAGAAAGTAAAATTAGTGGCTGTAAAATATTCAAATGACATAAAGAGTTGCATGAACAATGATTTGCAGTCTGCAGATACAGGCAATCAACACCCTAAACCTATTTAGTTTAGTTCATGCTGTGCAAATTAATACTTGTATTTTCTTTAATTGAAAGGTGATCATTGTATGGGTCAAAACCCGGCGTACGAGCTTACCCTAAATCTACTTCATTACCTTTATATTGCCATTTGATTAATTCTTTGTTATTTATCTCCTATCATTTTAATCATGTCTAATTATAATCAATTTAGCATAAACAATCTTATTGTTTGGTCATCTCAATCTGCTTGTCCTTGAGCCATGTTAACAAATTCAACTGCACAGATTTAAAGGTAAACAATCATGTTGTGCACTCAGTTTTTGGAAGGCGTTTAAAAGAAAATGTATTTGCAAACTTGAAATTGAAAAGGTATCATCCATGATGTTGCATAAAATATCCTCTTCTTCCTCACATGCATCTCTAAATTAAATTCATCCAGAATACCCTCAAGTACTAAAGTCCGTGTTTGTCCAACTTCTCATAAGATTTCAGAGAAACCTGAAACAGATTTAAATTTTAGTTAATGTTAAGGTACTCATGAATCTTTTAGAGAGTTTAGCTTCTATACAGTGACATTATATAAAAGATTTTTTTATACCGTCAGATCACTTAAATGATAACTACAAGTACCTGATCATTAGATGATGGAGAGCTGCGTGAAAATCTGCTTGGAGAATTTGTACTATTTAAGTGTGCAGGGGATAGTTTTGGCACAATATATGGCGACTGCACGTATGGTGAAACAGGTGAGCGCAACATAGGACTTTGATGTGCACTTGAATGTACTGGAGACGCTATTGGACTTTGCCACTTCGGTTTATAATTAGTAGCCCCTGTTGCCACTGCTCCTGGAGATCTTCTAGGTGAAAATATCATCGACGGAGGAATGTTGATCCTAATTCTGGACACAAAAATAGCAAATGTGTATTGTTCAATATGTAATCATGATATTCTTAATTAAGATACTGTAAACAGATATTGCTAACATACTTGTTATGAACATCAACATAGTCATCTGTCTCGTCGTATATTGGTTCCTTCCAGGAGAAAAAATAAGAGTTATTGCAGACAAATTAGCAATCGACCATCAGTTAAGAAAAAGCAAAAATAAACTTACATAACCAACATGAATTATTAATTTTACCTGCAGAAGTTGTTCAAGGACATCTTCCATTGTAATGATACCAATTGCTTCTTCTCCTAAAATTAAAGATCATTCCAATTTATTACTAGTTAATTTTACCTGCAGAATTTGTCGGACTACACTGGGTATGTTGTAACATGAAATAAGTAAGTTAGTTGTACTAATATATATAACGTACCCTTTTCAAATGCATGAAGCTGTTGAATTGGACTGGCCGGAAGGATATTTATCTTGATTATATCGTGTTTAGCAGTGGCATTTTCTGCAGTTTCCTTAGTGATCCTTCTACTCTTTACCACTACAGCCATATGGCTGTGGCCTTTCTCAAACTGATTAAGAAGATCATATAATGGTAACGAATCTGGGACTCTGCAGGAGATCAAATAAAGATTAAGTCAACTTTCCGTTTCACTGTGGACTGACTTTTATTTCAACTATTTTCGGGTTGAATTCTCAAGTGATTTTCTGAGATAATAACTATTAGTTAATTGACTATATGAGAAATCAGCTCGACTATTTTCTTATAAGTCATGACTCATGTCTAAGCAAAATCAACCCCTGACATTGGAACAGCTAGAGTACATTATTGAAAAAGAGTATCAAATAATGCAAGAAGTAAATAGTATCGTACTTTGGTATACTCCTTATAGTGAGATCTTTGATTGGCACCTCATCTTCAGGACGACATTTTATCAAATTCTTCACCTAGAGGTTGTACGAATGGTAAAGAAATTGAAGAAAAGTTAAATATGTAATGAAAATGTTGCAGAGTGATAATTGAAGTAGTAGTTATAAAGTTTCTGGAAATAAAAAACTTACCAAGATCAGGCCTACAATATTTGTTGGAGTACCAGAGTATACAGGTACGCGACTATGGCCTTTGCTTATTATCAGATTCATCATCTCACTGAGAATCATCAAACATTATTTGGGTTATTATACATATAAACATGAAGTGCTAATTGAAGCTAGCTAGGAAAAATTTGGCGGAGTTAGTAGTATACTCGGTAAGTTTAGAATGAAGATCAAGGGAAAAGACTCTGGACATTGGAGTCATTGAATCTTTAACCGATTTCTGAGCTAGGTCCAATGCTCCAGCAATTATGGTTGTTTCATCGTGGCTCAACTCCCCGCCTTTCCCTGCCTGTAATCAAGAGGCGAATCCAGGATTTAAAGTTAATGATCTTATTATATGAGTACATAATTGAGTTTGAGTCGAAAGCAATGGATAAATAACTCATCTTAGATACCCCTCAGACTGCTAACCAATTTGTGGTTCAGAGCTGGTCTAGTCTTAAGAACTTAAAATCAAGAAAATTTTAGGTACAAAATACTAACCTCATTACCATGCATATTCACCAACATTTTCAGCTCTGCGCGACGTAGAAGTGCAGAGTGTCCTTTCCCCAAGAGTAAATCCAACAACTGATCAGACCAAGTGAACAAACATAAATAGTTGATCAGGACTATGCCCAAATAAACAACTTTTATATACATCGACAGTATAATGAAAGTTTTACATAGTCATGTAAAATATATCAAATAACTTGGAAAATAAGGTATACTACTTGCTACAAGAAATTAAATTTGAAAAAATAATTATTATACAGTCAGTATATATGACTTGTAAAATCGTTTCTTTATACCTTACTGATGGGGTAAGATAAAGGGAAGACAACTATGACGAGTAAACGAACCAAAGGTGCCAATCTTGCACCAATGCTCAGTCCATAGCGCGAACAGATGGACTGAGGAATAATCTGTGGGAGGCAAAAAAGTTGAAGTTTAATAATTACTCAGTTATTTAAAAGCTCAATCCTATAATTAAACAAACATAAATTCCTGAGAAATAACCTCTCCAAAGGCTAGTATGAGGGTGACTGATATTAATATAGCACCCCATGCAGGAAGTAAAGCATCTAGGAATATTGGAAGAGCCTGTTTCATGAAAATAATAAAACATTAATCAGCTCGAAAAATGGTACATCACTAGACAAAATCATTCACGAATCCAAAATTTAAATGTTGTAGGGTCTGAATCGATAGTTTAAACATTACGGGGTTTGAATTGAAACTTATATATATGTCAAACCCGTGAACTCATTATTGGATCGCGGTTAGTAACATACCTCCATAGCCATCGCGTTACATATTAGAAGGGTGCACAAGAGCAAGTGCTGATTCTTCACAATGGGCAAAATTTTCTCTGTGATCAGTTAGAAACAGAACAATTAGAACTCAAAGTGGCATCACTCACTCACTAAATTGACTTGTTAGAAACGTTTCTGACTAACTTTTCATTGGAAAGTCGCATTTTTTTTAGTAAGGACTAGCAAGTAAAAAATAATTATTGAATCGAAACAAGGATTACCCGCGTTTTTTCGATCATTTGGCTGACCCGCCTTAATAAGAATCTCAAGATCCATAAGGCTAAGAGACATGAGTCCTAGTGTTAATCCAGACATAAGTCCAGCAAAACACACAAGTGATACACAAATAATTAAGTATACCCAAAACATAGTTTCACAACATGGCACATCATTTGCAGCCATTTTTGTGTTAATTTGACAACTTTTTTTATGTTGTTTTTAACGTACAAAAGACTGGAATTTGGAACAGAACTACTACAGTTTATATAATGAGGAAAAGATGGATAAGTTAATTTTTTCTTATAAAAAATGTTGAGATGGATTAATTAATATAATAGTTGTGCAATTTTAAAATCTAATCATCTGAGATTTATATACGTGGCATTCACCCTTACCATGTAAAATGATTATTTAATCATCTAATACATTCGTTAATTGAACAAATTTGGTTAAACAAACCCACTTAAGATTTCTTAATGAC